GGGGCTCCGCCGAGCAAGCGAGTGATAACTGATCTAGCCGCCCTAGGGACGTCCTTAGCCGGCTGCACGCGCAGGTGATCTGGGCGCTGGGCAGAAAGGCCATGGTGTTCATTGTGCCCTGCCCTAAATCTTGCCTTGGCTCCTTCCTGCCCTTCTGATGATCCAGCCACCTCTCAGGAGCCCTGCTCCCATCAGCATCCATCACCCTAACTCCCTTGGTCTCCATGTTCCAGTCAAGGCACATTCTTACATATCTCTAATGCTACAAACACATTCCTGCTTCAGGTCTTTGCCTTGCTATTCCATTACCTGGAATGCTCTTCCATGATATTTCTCATCTCTTCCTGGTTTCTGCTCGAGTGTCAGAAACGTCCTAGGAGAGGCCCTCTCCGACCAGGGCGGTCAACTCCATGCCCTGTCCAATCATCTTGTTTTTATTGCAATCATATTCAGGTGTGAACTCTGTGAAAGTAGTGCAGGCAGAGACCCCTCCTCAGAACCCGGTCCATGAGGCCCAGGATCCCCATTGAAGGAATGCAGATAAAGGAAGTGTTCCAGCTGAGTAAGGGATTCACACACTGCCAATTACCACGCTCTGATAGACTTTTGAAACCCTATGGGGCAGTTCTACTCTGTCCTATAGGGTCTCTGTGAGTCAGAGTCCACTTAACAGCAATGAGTTTTGGGTTGCATACCATGGATAAGGTGCCCTGGTGCCTCTGTGGTTAAGCACTCAGGTGCTAACCAATAGGTCACTGGTTCAAACCTACCAACCACTCTGGGGGAGAAGGATGCGGCAGTGTGCTTTGTAAAGATGACAGCCTAGGAAACCCATTGCTACAGTTCTATTCTGTCCTGTGGAGTCATGAGTCAGGATTGACTGGATGGCAATGGTTTTGATTTGGCTTTGGTAAAGTGGTGGTGGTTGTTGTTATGTGCCTTCGAGTCGGACTCTACTCATAGCGACCCCTCCTTGGGTTTCTGAGGCAGTATCACTACGGAAGTAGAT